AAAAAAAAAAAAAAAACAAAAACAAAAAACAAAAAAAAACAACGCCCCCAACCTTCCCCGTTTAAGGTTTTTGCTGTAGGGAGGTGGGGGCGGGGAGGGATCGTTTTGGAAAAATCTTTCTAAAGAAGCTTTCAGATCAAATATTAACACATGTAAAAGTTGTATATACGTTTTACTTACTTACAAATTCTAGCAGGGTCTTAAATCGTCGACTGTCAACGTCTGGAGAGCCCTTCGGTGTTGTTTTTGCCCCACAACGCCGGGCTGCACCCCACCTCGGACGCGGAGGATCAGAACGTCGTCCCGGTCCCAGTCCACGTGACGAAGACCTTCGTGGGGAGGGGAGGGGAGGGACGCACGGAATGCTGGGACTGGTAGTCGGCCCGCCCCTCCTCCTCCCCAGTCTGCACGCCCCTCTCTCCACTCCCCACCCGCTGGCCAATGCCAGGGTGAGAGGCGTGGCGAATGCGCACCACAGAACCGCCTGGGACCATATCCTTGCAATCCTACAGGAAAGCGCGCATCTCTGCAAGACACCGGGGAACAACCCATGAAACCAGTACTGTGAGGGCACTACCCAATAATAATAATGCCCAGTACCAGTTAGACGTGGCTTGGAACTTGGCCTCTACCTTTACAAGGTGAGTGTCCTCAAACGAGTTGCTTAATCTAACCCTCAGTCTGCTCCTGTCAAACGGGGACAAGGCTACTTACAAACCTCATTTGTCCGTAAACATGCTAATGTACCTAACGGTACCTGCTAAGTTATAGTAATAAATGATGAAAAATAGCTATTATTTTGGTCAATCCCATAAATGTGCAGATTGAGAGATGGCAAGGAATTTAGCGAAGAACACACGATTGGTTAGGGGCAAATAAGTCTAAAACTCCTGTACCTGACGTACACTAACTCAAAATAACACAGAAGAAACCTACTCTCCTAAAGCTCAGTTTCCCTTTCCTCTTTTTTTTTCTGTAACACTTCTGACCAAAACACTATTTTACTTTGATTTTTATCTGACCCCCGTGGAATATAAACTCCAAGGCAGGGAGGGTTGTCTTTGGTCTACTCTTTCACTACCATATCCCCAGTACCTAGAAGAGGGATTGTGTAGCACAGTTCAGAAGATAAATATTTATTCGATTAATGATTCTTTATGTGGTGGTGATTTTTGGTGCCTTCATTTCTCAATCATTCTCTTTCAGCAAAAGTCACAGGATTCCTAAATACTGTTTAATAATTGACTGCAATTTCTAAATCAATAAAGAATAAGTGGAACAGTATTTACTATATCCCACTCATTTCATTGAATTTAACTTCACTTAATTTCAGTATAACACTTCCAGCTAGACATTTTCATTTGCAGTAACTGTCTAAAATACTTTCCATTTACTTGTGAGAATGGGAAATAAATGGAGTTGGCTACTATTTCTTGAACTTGCTTTAATATTTTAATTTTTTCCTTATTAGAAAAGAACAGTGTTGGGGCCCCTGGGTGGTTCAGTAGGTTAAGTGTCTGACTTCGGCTCAGGTCATGATCTCACAGTTCATGGGTTCAAGCCCCTCGTCGGGCTCTGTGTTGACAACTCAGAGCCTGGAGCCTGCTTCAGATTCTGTGTCTCCCTCTCTCTCTGCCCCTCCCCTGCTCATACTCGGTCTCTCTTCAAAAATAAATAAAATGTTAAAAAAAAAAAAAAAGGAACAGTGTTGCCTTTCTGCTAAGATAATAGAATTATTTTCCTATCTGACCAGATAGGTGATGATGCACAATGAATTGATAAATGCTTTCTAAGTAACTAGATTTCTGCTTACCCTAAAAACAAAAACAAACTTCATATACAAAAATTACATTATTTTAAAATAAACTGTGTCCTTTAAAATAGCTGCTTTAAGGGTGCTCGGGCAGCTCAGTCACTTAAGCGTCCAATTGGGTTCAGGTCATGATCTCACGGTTCATGGGTTCGAGCCTGCATTGGGCTCCAAGCTGCCAGCGCAGAGCCTGCTTGGAATTATAGCTCTCTTCCTCTCTGCCTCTTCCCAACTCACACTTTCTCTCTCTCAAAATAAATCCATAAACTTAAAAAAATAAAGAAAAGAGCTGTTTTAGAAATCCAGCGTCAACAACACTAGATTTCTAGACTCAGGCATAACAGCTAGGTATACAAATTGATGCCATTTAATCTGAATTATAATTTTTAATAGAGATCTTCCCTCATATATGGCAAATACCCTAAGGCTAAAGAATACACTCATTAATTTTTCATATATTTATCAAACATCTATGTTGGTATAGAATAGATGTTTGATAAATATATGAATTAAATGAGTGTATTCTTTGTTATAATCATTTCTTCTCTAACCTGTCTTCTCTTTTGAGCCACTGAATTCCTCCACATCTCTCACGTTCCCAAAGTAATTGTTTAACAACCAGAGCTCATGCCCCCTCTTGGTAATGGTGACCCAGCAAACCCCTTCCACTACAGGCTATGAATCTACTGCCTCTAACGTCAAGTCTTTTGGGGCCACTCTTACAGTTTGGAAAACACCTACAGCAGAATATCTGGTTTCATAAGAGTTTAGCCTCACTTCACAGTTAGTGATGAAAGTTGGTATTTGTAAGATTGCTAGGAGTGGGAGACAATCCTAGCCTATGCCAGGGCTAGGATTATGGATTATTATCTAGACCAAAGAGGGAAAACCCTAAGCAAATATATGTGTTAATGTTAAAGCTATCATGCCTCTGACTTTACTTAATGTTCTCATTTGTTTCTTTGGAAAGTGAAAGCCATTAGTTTCTTTCCTAAGCTTTTACAAGCATTTTAAAATTTCAAAACACCACCGTACTGATTATTCAACAGGTAGAACCTCTCATCTTCTCTGATTATTCAGCAACATGTAGAACCTCTTGTCCTTTGTTTTTAAATATGTCCCCAAACCTAAGTTTTAAAGTTTGTATCCAAAGTGTCTATGTAGAGACTATACTGGTAAATGTTTTAAAGATGTACTTAATATGCACTGATGTTCATAATATGAACTTTGTATATTAACACTATTAAAGTTTTATATCCTTTAAAAATTACATGAAAGAATTTTTACAATTATATGTTAATGAGCACTATAATAGGCACCTTATAGAGAAAGGGTTACTTAAATCGTGAATAAAAGCCAGGTATTACCAAGTATCAGTACTTTTCAGCATTTTATCAGAAAAGAATTAAGACTCACAAATTTTCCACATACAATACCACTTATCCCAAGAGGACAAAGGAGAACACTAGAGTTTTAATTTTCCCTTAAAAAGTTAAAAAAAAAAAAAAAAAGCAGCATCTCCTTTGATACTGTTCCTCCAGCTTCTTTGGCTATATTGTATATTGTAAACAGAACTAAACTACTGATCCTAACAGTCTAAAACCTAGATGACTCTCTAAAGCATGTAACTATCTAGCCAAATGTATGGACAATTAGTGAAAATATAATACACCTGAGGCTTTCATTAAATTGAAATCTGTGCCCAGTTTAAGCAAACGAGTCACTGAAAAACGTTCTAAGGTGATTTAAAATACTTGAAATAAACATCTTCCAAAATTTCAGAATGACTCAGTAATTGGTTTCCAAAATTACAATTTCTTAAACCTACTCACTAAAATAAGTTCTAGAAAGTCTTCCAAGACAAGTGTATATGTTTGAGGGAACAATCTTTCTCTCAATTATTGACTTTCTATATGTCTAAATTTGGCTAGTTACTGCAGATTATCCACATCTGTAAACATGAAGAGTTGAAACAAACAGCTTTTATCATGCTTTCTTATTCAATAAACTAAACGCAAGAAACCCTAAATCAAAGTCAGTAGATCAAGTCATGCCCAGAATCAAAATAAGAATGGGCCATAAGTTAAAATTACAGCGCTCTTATTTAATCAAAGTTATTATCAAACATCTACGTCCATAACACACTAATAAGGTTTCCGAACAGTGCTGCTGGAATACAGCTTTAACACGAAAGCCAGGAATAAGACTGCATACATTCTGCAAGGAAATCTACCCGAGCGTATACCTGCAGATACGACTTTGCACTCTCAACAGGTGACTTAAAATTTAAAACTGGCTGCCTTCACAAGGGGCTTAAAAACTAAGAAATTTCCAAGAAAAGATAGCCCTTGCAAAAGGATCTTTATATCATTACTCCAGTAATAAGTTTGGAAAGGCATGGCTAAGGTAGGCGTCGATCAAAAAGGTTCCAGGAAAACTGCGCAACAGCCTGGGGGCGAGGACCGAAACTTCTCCCCCCCCCCCCCCCCCCCCCCCCCCGACTTTCGCTCGGCCTTCCCCCAGAAACTCGGAACAGGGGGCCAGGACCGGCGTCTCCTGCGTGCGGGCAACAGTTGCCACGAGCAGCTGGGCTCAGGAAAGGCAATTTGCCCAGCCAGTTGTCCCTTCTCCGTCGTCCCCTCCCACCTTCCCCCAAGGCCAAGGACAGCGACGTCGTCCTCCCTCTTCTCCTCCTCTTTGGTGCCTTCAGCCAGGAGGCGGGAGTGACCCGCAGCAGCTGACCCAGCATAGGCACTGCCTCTCCCACAGCCCTCAGGACACACCATGGGCCCAGAGGCGGGTTTGCAGCACAGCAGCGACGACGCAGGCGGAGGCCCCGGCGACTCTCAACTGCCTCCCTGACCGCCGCGAGCACCGCCCGACACCCCGAAAAGTCGTCGCCACCCACGGCAGGAGAATCTAGGGACCCCAAATCCACCTTCGCGATCGACTCAAGCTACGTCAACAACTATGGCGGGCGACGGGAGGCGGGCGGAGCCGGGGAGGGAAGGATGGGGGCTATACGTCACACCCCGGCCCCCCTTGCGGGAGGGTAGGCGCCGGCTCGCCCCTCAAAATGGCGGCGGCAGTGACGCGCCTGCGTACGGAATTCCTTCGCCGTCGCGCCCCGGCCGGCGGGAAGTGAGGTTCTCGGAAGAGCCGCCAGAAGTGTACGGCGACTTCGAGCCCCGGGTAGCCAAGGAAAAGTCCCCGGCGAGAAGACGAGTCCCGCTAGAAGAGTTCCGGCCTGATTCTGAGAAAGAGGAAGTGAGAGAAAGCGCCTACTACCTTCGTTCTCGGCAGAGGAGGCAGCCGCGACTCCAGGAAGCCGAGGAGATGAAGACGCGAAGGACTACCCGTCTACAGCAGCAGCACTCACAGCAGCCTCTGCTAGAGCCGTCTCCGGTTACGACCAGGAGAGGGTTACGGGACTCTCATTCCTCTGAAGGTGAGACCGACGGAGGTAACAGTCTCCGCCGCGAGCAGGGGAGCGAGCGCAGGCGCGCGGGCGCGAGCGGTGTGTGCGCGTGTCGGGCGGGCGTAAGCTCCCGCCCAGCTCATCCTCGCCGGGGCTCCAGTGGCTTCGCGGCGCGGATAGACGGGCGCCCCCACGCGGGGTCCGCCCCGACCGCAGGCGGGCGAGAGGTGCAGGCGGCTGAGGGTTGAGTAGGCAGTCGTGCTGAGCGACCTGATCCGGGAGCTCTGCGCATCCCTGTGCGTCGAGCAGGGGCGTCCCGAATTGCCTTTATCTGCAGGCCGTCACGGAGGGTGGACGAGTTAGGTGGCAGGCGCGACATCAAAACACTTGGGACTCCGTTTCACTTCAGTTTCCTCTGTCCTGCGGATGTTGCTACCAAAGCCACTTCCATTTCCTCCTTTAACTCTGAAAAGCCAGAAGTCCCTAGCTGAGAGTTATGGATCTAATGTAACCTTCCAGTCTTTTTCCAACGCTACCCAGGTCAGGGGAGAGGGAAGGGAAATTTGGGGAGTGGGCGTTTCAAGGGATAGAGTGGTTGATGAATTGATTGAGACCCCTCCCAGGTACTTACACCGAGGTGGGCTAAGTCAATTATCCTGAACTTTGAGCTGATCGCTCTGTCTCACGTGTGGTGATCTCTGCAAAAATTCGCCACTTGAGGTTCCTCAGTGTAACCTCATTGGTTAAGTAGCTTGACGAAACAGGATTCTTAGTTTTTATCTAAATGGGCCAAAAGGATGTTGACAAAGTGAGCGTATAGTTTTAGGTAAGTCACAGGTGAATAAACTCCCTTAAGCCATCCTCTCCCACCCACCTCCCTCTTCCCCTTCTAATCCTGAGTCACAGGTGAAGTTTTGTTTTAGCCCCACGTAAGGCACCTATGAGGTAAAAATCCGAGGGTTTGAATCACAATGGGATTACATAATTAGCGGTAAACCATTGATGGCCAGGAAAAGGAGGTGGATTTTCAGCTCAGAGCAGTCAGAGGCAGCACATACCTCTTGACACCTGAAGTGCTGACACGTTTGAAGATGCGTTGATGTGGAAAACTTTATGTTAAAGATGTGTAAGTTACTGCTGGGTGTAGGTACTCAAGACAGTTTAGCTCATATATAGGTTAGTGTGTGTTTCTTTTAAGGTTAGAAACCTGAAGACAAAGATCCCATCATTGAAGTTAGGTTGTACCTCCTTCAGTATCTGAGGAATGCTTTGCACAAGTAGGCAATAAATGTTACATTATATGGACTCTGCCACAGAACCTGGTGCAGTGTTATCAGCTTTTTTAACACATGAAGGATTTACCTCTATTTTAGTAAAAAAAATCTATAAGGGTCTAAACATTTTTCACTCCTCTGCTTTCTCCCACATCATTTCTGAAACTGTAGCCCATCTTTTAAATTTCTAAAGTAGTAGACTTTTATAGTAAAGCATCAAAGGTAAATAATTTGTTTTTATATTGCCTCAAGAGTAGTTAGACCCAAATTCCTAAGTTTTGGTAGGCTTAATTACACATTGCTAAAGAAATGAATTATGTGCATTTTTGCTTTTATATTACTATTAAGGTGCATAATCTGTACCAGATCATATATTCTGAATTTTGACAGTTGTCATTTCTGTTCTTTAGAGGATGAACCATCTTCACAAACTATTTTAAGCCAAACAGTCTCAAAGAAAACTATCCAGAGAACACAAGAAATTCCAGGTAAGAAGAGTGATTTTATTTTTTGCCTTACCTGCCATCTTTTTCATTTCTTTTTTTTTAATGTACACACTATAGCCTGGTTCATCAAGGGTCCCAAATCATAACTTATTCAGAATTACAGTGAATCTTCTCTATAGTTTGTTGAGTTAAACCATATAGGTATATGTCAAGAAAAGATGGAATGGATACTTGAGTATCTACTAATTACGAGCCACTTTGGATATGGTAATTCATTCACATAACTCTGCAGGATAGATGTGCCCATTTTATAGGCGAGAAAACTGAAGCTCAGAGAAGCTAAGACCCTTCTCTATGTTTACATGATAATGTGACAGCCAAAATTGGCTCCAGATTTGTCTTCTTCAAAACCCTTTCATTTTCCCCAAGTACCTCATTGTCACTCTCCTATGTAATAATTAGCCACTCAGTGAAATTCATTAAGTGTGGTGTCAGTGAATATGTCTTGCTACCTTCCATTTAAAATGGATTAAGTGGGGGCACCTGGCTGGCTTAGTCAGTGAATCGTGTGACTCTCGATCTCAGGGTGGTGAGTTCAAGCCCTACATTGGGCATGGGGCCTACTTAAAATAAATAAGAAACTAAAAATAAAATGGATTGAGTGATCTGTATAGTAAAATCATGGCATGATATGGTCAATCTTTCATCAAATCTAAAATGTCATCAGTTGTAAGATCCACCATCGTTTTATGTACCACCTAGAAGGAAGAAATGCTGCCAGTTAAACTTTAACATCCCATAGATTGTATGATGCATCCCAATTTCAGAGATGTTAAAGACTTTTTTTTTTAAAGTTTATTTATTTTGAGAGAGAGTGAGCGCATGTGAGAGGGGCAGAGAGAGAGGGAGTGAGAGAATCCCAAGCAGGCTTCACACTGTCAGCACAGAGGCCGATATGGGGCTCGAACTAATGAATCGTGACATGATGACCTGAGCCAAAACCAAGAGTCGGATGTTTAACGGACTGAGCCACCCAGGCACCCTGCCCCCCTCAGTTTCAGAGATGTTAAAGTGTAAAAACATTTGCATTTTATTATCAATGTAACATAGACTTAGGCTATGTTGACAGTCTACTTAAGTTTTAAAAGCTGTTAAAACTCTTTTGGAAAGCAAGGAAATGGATTTAGTTCAGTTGCTAATGCTTAGTTCCTTTGGTTTTTAGTTCCATTTATTTTCAGTCTGCTGTTTTTGATATTAAGAAAGTCCCACAACAGTAAAACTCCTATCTTGACTTGTTTCCTTAGCCATTGCTTCTAATAAGATTATGCTTTATGATTTGACCTATTCTGTCCTCAATTTAGAATAAGGTACATCTAGTTCAAGTTTAGTTCTAAGTAAACACGCCCTTTATATTTAATTCCTTGAATTGCCTATGTTACTGGGTTAAGATTATAAACTATCTTAGAAAAATGCTTTGAGTAATAAATGCTATAGATTTTCCCAGCCATGTGGAAAAATCATATTCTTGAAATTTTATCATAGTATATTTATTTGCTTATCTCTTACACCTAGAGAAGCAAACTTTTCTAAAATTTAGAGTAAATGTATAAAAATTATGGTGTTAATTTAAGTAAATTGATAGAATGAAGACTGTTGAACACCAGCCTATAGACCATTATAAAACTGTTATATAATAAAATACCTTGAACAGTCTTTTGGAGTTCACATTAGGTCTATGTTTTTTTTATTTTTATTTTTTATTTTATTTTATTTTTTTTAATTTTTTTTTTTCAGATTTATTTATTTGGGACAGAGAGCAGAGACATACAGGGGAGGGGCAGAGGGAGAAATAGAATCGGAACAGGCTCAGGCTCTGAGCCATCAGCTCAGGCGACTGGCGGTCAGAACTCCACAAACTTGACCGCGAGATGGTGACCTGGCTGAAGTCGGGACAGCTAACCACATCGCCACCCATGACCTCAACGATTAGGTATGTTTAAGGACCACTACCCATACACAGACTTACTTAATGTTGTGCAATTACACTACCGTTCTGCTTGTGTTTACCCACCCACACTTAGAGACCACGGCGCACTTTATCCTATCATTTCCCCTGCCTAACCTGCAAGGCCACTGAGGAAATGATCAGTGCATATTATTATACATCAGTAAAAACACAGAGTACAAGGAGTCCCTCCTCCTCTGCCCCTTATGGCACTTTACATAAGAGGTGAAGTTCATAAAGTTTGCTGTAACATTTTTTCTCAGGAAGCTTATGTTATAATTAGAAATGGAAAAGAAAAGCATTTTCAAGTATAGATGATAAATGGATGGAACCTATGCATAAATTACTAGGAATATGTATCAGTAGTTAGCGTGCATATAAGATAAATGAAGGGATATTTACACTCTTTGGGAACTTGAGATATTAAAATTCAGTGGTACATTTATTTCTTTATTTATAAAGAACTTTTTTTAAGTTTGTTTTTGATGGAAAGGCTGAACAGGGAAGGACAGATCAGAGATGGAGAGAATTCCAGCTAGGTCCATGCTGATAGCATGGACAGGCGTGCCCGAGTTCTAACCCTGAGGTGAGATCATTACCTGAGCTGAAATCAGGATATGTTCAACTTAACTTAGCCAACAGGTACACCCAGAATTCAGCTGTACTTTTGAAAATCAGTCCTGCAAGAGGCGCTTCTGGGTGGTTTAGTGGCAAGCGCCACGACCTCCAGGCTCATGATCTCCGGTCCATGATTCGAGTCTCCATGTTCAGGTTGACCGCTGACGCTCAAGAGCCTGGGCCTGTTCAGATCTGTGTCTCCTCTCTCTGCCCCCTCCTGTTCATACTCTGGTTCTCTCTGTTCAAAAATAAGTAATCTAAAAAAAAAAAATTTAAAAAAAAATCATCCTGCATCTAGCACTTGGCATGCTTCAAGGAAAGAGTTTAGGGAATTATTGAACAAATGCTTATAATGTGTGTCATGGAGGAATTATTGTGTAAGATAGTACTCTTTGATGGTAGCATCACTTTAAGTGACCTTTCCCTTATAGAATCATAGACTTTCTGTTTAACTTTCATGTTGAAAAATAGTGCTATAATTGTATATAGGACCACTGGTGTGGTCAGACTAAAATCTATCAAAGATAGAAACTCTGGGCTGTGGGCAGGCGAATTGGGTTGGCGTCCGACTTAGCCAGGTCACGACATCTGCAGCGGTCCAGGAGTTCGACGGAGCTCCAGCTGTCAGGCTCTGGGCTGATGGCTCAGAGCCTGGAGCCTGTTTCGATCTGTGTCTCCCTCTCTCTCTGCCTCCTCCCGTTCATGCTCTGTCTCTCTCTGTCCCAAAAATAAATAAACGTTGAAAAAAAAAAATTTTTTTTTTCAAAGATACCCTTAAGAATAAAGACCAAAGCCAACGGCCCACCTTCTAAAACAACCTACTAAAGACAACTACATCATCTGCCTTCCTGTTTTTCTAAGCCATGAGAAGTACTGATTAGTTTAGAACAGGGATACAGATTGAACTCTTATTGTTTGAAGTTCCAGAATTGAAATGTTTTCACATTAAAATAGTCATTGAGTTGTTCATTCAGTTCAGTCCATGTATGTATGTATGTATGTATGTATTTATTTATTTTAATGTTTATTCTTGAAAGAGAGGAAATTCTTGAGTGAGGGAGGAGCAGAGACAGAGAGAGGGAGATATAGAATCTGAAACAGGCTCCAGGCTCCAAGCTGTCAGCACAGAGCCTGATGCAGGGTTTGAACTCACAAACTGTGAGATCATGACCTGAGCCAAAGTTGGACACTTTTAACAGACTGAGTCACCCAGGTGCCCCAGTCCATGTATTCTTACATAACTGTTCTGTGGTCAGATTCATTCCTTTCTGGAAATCATGGAACTAATTTTACAATATAAAATTATATTGGGAGAACTTCATTTACTTTTCCTAAAGTTAAATAGGTATTTTTGTTCCAACAGTTGTGGTTTCTAGTTAAATAATCATAGATAATTATTTTTGAATATCTACCATTTTGTCATGAACATTTGATTCTCTGGCTGCTGAACATTTGATTTTTTTGGAGTATTCATTCTCTAGATCTTTACTGAGTACCTACTTTATGCCAGTCCCCATGCTAGATGCTGGGGGTGCAGCGATGAGCAAAAGCAGACAAGGGAAGAAGATTGCTACAAAATAAGGGTACTTGCTCTTTTATTCTTTAATAATATCTCTCTTTGGTACTCTGTCTCCTTGAAGCATCTTCTCTAAGGATATGTACATAATAGAGCGTACAGGAAATACTTCTTTTTTTTTTAATTTTTTTTTTTTTAACGTTTATTTATTTTTGAGATAGAGCATGAACGGGGGAGGGTCAGAGAGAGGGAGACACAGAATCTGAAACAGGCTCCAGGCTCTGAGCTGTCACCACAGAGCCCGATGCGGGGCTCGAACTCACAGACCGCGAGATCATGACCTGAGCCAAAGTCGGCCGCTTAACTGACTGAGCCACCCAGGCGCCCCCAGAAAATACTTCTTAAAAGATAGGGGAAAAAAATAGTAATTGATGTCTATAGATTAAGTTGAGTTTTAGGTTTTAATTAATCCTGATAAAGGTGAGAATGCAGAAGAGAAGAAGAGGAAAGTAGTTGTAATAATGGGATTATGAACATGTACAAAATTTATTTTAAAAGCTATTTTTATAAGTTTTAAATACCTGATGTTTGAAATACTAGCAACTGAGATAGATATTTCATAGAATCTTACAGCTGGAAGATTTAGGGAATTCATCTACCCAAAGTCTCTATCAATGCAAGTATCCCTTTGTTAGCATTCATTCATATACTCCCTGATCATTTTCAGTGAGGTGAAAATCATTCCCTCACTATCTGTTCTGTTTTGGAGACAACATTAATAACTTAAGTAATTAAAAGCTAACTTTTCTCTTTCTGTGTGTTGATCTTAGTTCTGCCTTTTTGAGCTACAGAAGTTTAATTGCTTTTCTACATCTCTGTCTTTAAGATATATAGAAACATGTTCAATAAGTGTTTTTCGAACAAACAAGTGCCTGGCCCATTACAATATCTTTTCTGGATACTCTTAATGGGGAAATTGCGTGAAGTCAGTTTTGTAAAAACAAACATAGGCAGTCAGTGTAATGGCAGGGACCAGTGATAACCAGTTCAGAATGGTTTTCACTGTTCTCCTACAGCGCCAAACAATGTTGTTGTTGTTGTTGTTTTTAAGTTTCATTTATTTTGAGAGAGAGAGCATGTGCACATGTGCAGGGGAGGGACAGAGAAAGGGAGAGAGAGAGAATCCCAAGCAGGCTTCACACTGTCAGTGCAGAGCCTCACGTGGTGCTCAAACTCACAAATCATGAGATCATGACCTGAGCCAAAATCAGGAGTCTGATGCTTAACCAACCGAGCCACTCAGGGGCTCCATGATGTTTTTTATAAAGACAAATGAAACAAACATAATATAATCCAAATTCAGATATATATTGGACTTTAGATAATGTTGTTTGATTTTTTTGAGAACACATCTTGGCTTTCTAGGTTAACATTTTATATGATGGGATTGGCTTCCCCATTAGCCCTATACCATTGAACCATAGACAGTCTGAAACCCTGGCTAATGGTAACACTTTATTTAAGTTAGAGTTTACATTTCCTGAACACACACACAGGGTTAAATAGTTGGAGGTACTATATTAACTCTCAGGAAGTTAACCCCTAAATTAAAGTATGCCATAAATAATCCATAATGAGGATAAGCCTCAAATGGAATAATTGAGTTGGTGCTACAGTACAAATTTGGTTCTCATATGAGAAATTTAGAAGAGTTTTATTTAGTATTCCTTTCTTATATAAATGTGATCTGCTGAGAAAAATTGCATATTTTTTCTATCATGTTCATAAATTTTTTATGGCAGGAAATTGGTAATTCAGTTTTACATTCCCATACTTAAAATAATGAAGGGTTCAGAAAAACCTTTGTTGAATAAATAGATAATTGTATGATAAATGTAGTATGTTTGACATTTTATATATTTTTTAATGTTCTTTCTTCCTATATTAGTGCTGAGTGAAGATCCTGTAATCAGCCTGTGTAGACGCCCCCTAAGAAGCCCAAGACCTGGTAAGAGATTGTTTTGTCTGTTGGTTTAAATGATTTATAAATATAGCTTTATTTTTAAATAGGTTAGTACATGTATTCATATGGTTAGAAATTTAAAAGTTATTATAAATACATGGTGAAAAATCTCCCTGTCCCTCTGTCCTTTACCCACCTAGCCTCCTCATTAGAGGGAACCAGTGTTTTCAGTTTCTTAGGTCTTTTTTTAGGGATATTTAATGGAGCTACAAAGAAATTCATGCATAAATGATATTTTCCTTCCTTTTATCACAAATGTTAGCCCAATAAACACTCTTTTCTGTACCTTCTTATTGTGTTTTTATTTTTACTTAATCTATTGAGACATCTTTCCATACATATGTGTATGTGTGTATATATGTGTATGTATATATATATATATATATATATATATATACACACACATATATATAAAGGCCTTCCTCATTGTTTTTAAGAGGTTTCTATGATTCTTTTTGTTAGTATGATGATTTTAAACTAGGATCAGGGGCTTTTTATTCTTCCCAGCATAATGCTAATAAAAAAATCAAGACCGAGGCTTTATAGCTCAGTGCTATCAAATTTTTCTGCCTCACTTACATTTCTTTTTGATGAAAACCTCTAACAAGTATTGCCCTTAAGTTGATTTCATGACTGTGAGAGATAACCAATAAAGGCATCCAAGCAGTCTACTTCTGCTTCCTTGTCAGAGTTCATTAGCACATAAGAGTGCTTTCTCATGGGAACTAAAGAAGAACCTTATTTATCTTCACATTAGGTTTCTATTTCTTGATCCTTCTCTTTAAGAAAGAATTAGGATGGGTTTTTTTTTTTTTTTGATAACTGTCGTTTTAAGTATTACAATGACAAAGATCTGTTAAGGTTTTGATGATGAACCTGTGGTAAAGGACCACATGATGCATTTCCTCTTAAGCTCTAATCATTTTCTTGCTATCTCTCTTGCAGATTCGGCATACAAAACAAATGGAAATACTAAAATGAGTGAATTAGGTTTGTCTATCTCTAATTCTTACAGGTTTTTTTCAAGGGTTCTGAGAATCAGAACACAGGAGTATACACAGTTGGTCACTGGCTTGAGAATATTTCTTTGTTCGTTTTCTCAGCTTGTGGGACACTGTGCCTATGGCTATGACCTTTCTTATTGCCCTGATTCTTATTCTGTCTGAAATTACGTCTTTTGTTATTTAAGTTCATATAGGAACATGTAATACAAACACATTTTAATTTTTATTAGACTTTGTTAAATTCACATTTCTATGAGAAAAAGGAATATCAGCTTACCAATTCATAGTTTTTCTTGAGTTAGAAAGTGAATTAGAGATTCACTTTCCAGTGTTTGCTTTGCTGTAGGACATGAGATACCCAGATCCACAGCGTTAAGAGAACCTACATTGATTGTGGTTAGACTTAGTTTTAAGTTACAGTATTTTTCTAAATTTAGAGATGAGTCAAAACGAAGGAAACTTCCCCTTTTTTAAAAAAATAGCTGCAACTTTTTTAAAATTCATCTTTCAGTTAAACTCGGGTTGACTTCTTGGAGACTTCAGGATAGTGTCTGAAAGTGATCCTTACAGTATGCAGTTCATCATGTGTACTGGTGCCCAGTAGAGTTTCTCAAGTGCTTTATTTAAAAACTTAAAAAAAAATTTTTAAGTCATAGTTTCTTAATTGGTAAAGAAGTTGAAATAATCCACTTTTACTCTTTATGCTAGAGTTAGAAATGATTTTTATAAGTACTTTATAGTGAGAAGTAACTTTTAAAAGTGCTTTCCAGTTTAAAGAACATTTCTGTGGGATTAACAGAAAATGGCCTCCTCTGATTCTTTTTTATAGTAATGTTAGTACCTCTTAGAATATCAAAAATGACTGTTCATGGAGCTTGAATACTAGTAATATCCCCAGACTGTTCTTTATACTCCTTCCTGCTGCCCCACTCTGCCTCTGTTCTCAAAAGCATATTGGCATTGAATAATCTTAAAGGTACCACACTCTTAAAGGTGTCTATGCTGTGGGTCAGCCTCTAGTTAAAATCTGACCTGCAATCCTGTTTTTGCACAGCCTGTGAGCTAAGAAAAGAGACCTTGTGTGGCTAGCAAAGCCTCAAATATGTTTACTATTTGACCCTTTATGGAAAAAGCTTACCGCTCCCTGGTTTATACCGGTGGCAGGAATAAAGACAGCAAATCACCCAAACAGTCATCTGTTTGTTCTAAGAGTAAATTCAGAGAGTTACATACTTGCCTCAACATAGATTTTTTTTTTATAGCACTCCACCCTAGCCTATACTGACAGCGTAAGAAGACGGGAGACACATGGACTCTTGTGTTCTGTCTAGTCTTCTCTTTGAGAAAGCATCAGAGTCTCATTTGTGAAATCTTCATGTCTTTGTCCCCAGACAAAATACAAAGTATGAGTTCCTTGAGTATCCTTCACTTCACTGCTCACACCAACACATTCAATAAGTCTCTAGGAATAGAAAACCTTATAGTACAGATATACCTGGAACTTTGTGTTTTCCTTTCAAACTGTAGCTGAGGAAAGGAAAGTGGTATAATTAGTGGTTTGTCTCTGCCTGAAGAGATGGTTGTATGTGATCTATTCTTACAACAAACACGTGCCCTAGGTCTTCTGAAAGTCCTTTTATTAGTTGGTTGAGATCATTGGAAAAGTGGTACCTCCTTAACAGCTCCTTTATTTATTGCCATTTGTCTACTAAATGCCACAGCCTTTATAATTTTGTTTTCCTTTTGGGCCCACTTTATTTGGGAGCCGGGTGGCGAGGGCTCTAGGCCTCCTGGGCCCATAGCAGTGCTCACTGGCGTGTGCCGTGCCACCCAGAGCAGCATACCGCTCCATGTTGTGGCCTGAGTACCACAGGCGGCTCACACCGCCAGAGAACAGGGGGCTGACGGTCCGTAGCTCCTTCGGCCACAGCTGGTTGAGGGCGACCCCCTTGGTCTAGGCTGTGAAGACGGCTTTCTCAGAGGTCTTGTGGGCCCGGTGAAATCGCATCCCTTTGTGGACCAGGTGTAGGCGAGGTCAGTGGCCAGTATGTCAGAACTAAGAGCCAGTGCCATGTTCTCACCGTGAATCTGGGGGACACCAGTTGGGGGAGTGGTGGGTCCTGGGGACCCTAGGTGGTGAAGCTGCCACCCCAGGCCCAAGGCTAAACACCCCCGCAACCCCACCAACCTTAGCCAGGATGTCCCCAGCTTTGGGAAGATCTACTGTGACCCAGCCTATTCTCTCTCTGTTTTGCCACAACTTTTATAATATTTTAACTTTTTTTTAATTGAAGGTATTATTACTCCAAATAAGAGTTGAATTTCTCAAAGCTTCTGCATAAGCATAGGGAAGAATAATACCTTTTTTAAAAAAAAAGTATTTTAACCTTCTACACGTAGAAGCCAAGAGGTTTAAAATAAAGGAAGATGAATGCGGGGCGCCTGGGTGGCGCAGTCGGTTAAGCGTCCGACTTCAGCCAGGTCACGATCTCGCGGTCCGTGAGTTCGAGCCCCGCGTCAGGCTCTGGGCTGATGGCTCAGAGCCTGGAGCCTGTTTCCGATTCTGTGTCTCCCTCTCTCTCTGCCCCTCCCCCGTTCATGCTCTTGTCTCTCTCTGTCCCAAAAATAAATAAACATTGAAAAAAAAAATTAAAAAAAAAAATAAATAAAATAAAGGAAGATGAATGCAAAACAGGGAAATAAAATGAAAACTTCTCATGTGGTACTAAATGCTACTGATTCATCATCAGATTGTATTTAAATATTTATGCATTCTTTGTAGCTTGGGTTAAAAAGGTGAAAATGTAGAATGTTTAAAACCTTGCATGAAACCTCATTATTAAGCACTAATTTCACACTATTTTCTTGAGTTGTTAAGTCATGTTTTTTTTTGTCATGGTATGAACAATTTTAGCAAAAGTCTTAAAGGTTTTTATTCTGTGATACAAAAGTCTATTCATTTATTAAACAAACATTTATTTTTAACCACCTTCTGTATGTATCAGTGACTGGCCTAAATGCTGGAACCATAAAAAGCCATGATAATTTTTTCCCCTAGCTCTTAGAGTACATGATAATGGAAAAAAAAAGAAAAAAAAAACAAGTTAGATAAATTAATGTTGTAAGTGTTAAAATGGTGGTATATGTATTTGATAGCCTAGAAGAGAAGTGCCTTATTCTGCAGGAGAGGTTGGGAAGGTTTCATGGAGGAAATGGCATTTAGGAGGACTTGAAATTCCTGACCTTCATGTACCAGAATGAAAACCACAGTTAAAAAGTCTATAGCCAAGACAACGAGTAGACTGATAACAATGATGATTATTGTCAAATGTATAGAACATGTAATTCATAAGATATTATTGGATTATGCATAAGGCACAATATTAGTAATAATATTGAAGACAGCCTTGTTTAACAAGTTATTGTTCACCCTTTGAATACTATTGATATTGTTAGCAACATAAAATTCTTAAAAAAAATTTTTTTTAAGTTTATTTATTTATTTTGAGAGAGAGACAGCATGAGTGGGGAAGGGGAAGAGAGAGAGGGAGAGAGAGAATTCCAAGCAAGCTCCATGCCACCAGTACAGAGCCTGATGTGGGGCTTGAACTCACAAAGCCACGAGATCATGACCGGAGCTGAAACCAAGAGTCAGACGCTTAACCAACTGAACTACTTAGGCGCCCCAGAAACATAAAATTCTAAAGAAAAGACCTTTGGACACTAGATTAAAGTGTTCAGAAATCCACGATATATTAAATACTTGAAATATAATGATATAAAAAATAAATGGGGAGCTCCCTTATATAAGTTGGTTAAAAAAAATTCTTAAATTCTCCCCATGCTAATTGGACAACACATACATAAACAATAAAGGAAATTTAATTTTACTTTTATATGAGTGATTAATTACTAGGTGATTTGGCTCTGAACAAATTGACCTGGAGTTTAAAAAGTACATGGAAATAAATTATATCAGGA